GAATAGCTAGCACACTAACGTGAGCCCTCCTAAAGTGAAAATTCTAAATAACTAGATTCTACTGCCCTCCAAATGTAAAAAGGGAAAAGAGATAAAGTAAGGACAATTTATAAACCCATAGAAAAAAAATGGAAGTGCTGAATTGCCTGAGTTTTCTCCTTAAAACTAACCAAAGGGAAAGGAAAAAAAAAAGATACCCCGAAGAATAGCTTCCATAGGCTTTTCAATAAAACCTGTAATCCTACAAGCACAGCCAACTCATTCCTCTGAAGACTCAATCAAGCTGTGCTAAAGAGAGCTAAAAATAGACTAGATCAACTCCCAATCCACCACCCTTCTGTTCAAGTCCATATGTCACACAAAAGCTCACGAAGTAAGGTCCGTAGGATCACACTCTCAAGAAAGATTTAGCGTCCCTGAATCCGATACCCCAGCCCCCGCCCCATACAAAAAACAAATCCAATATTCAAATGACACAGATGCTGTCATTGAAAAGGCCAAAGAATTTACAGTGAAGACGAATTGGGCAAAACTATTAAGATTATACAATTAGAGAAGCCAGCAAACTCTATTCCCATCAATCCCTAGCACGACAATAATGAATTTATAAAAATATATTTAAAAAAAAAAAACAGATTTATTGATGCTAAAACAGCCAAGCTCATGAAACCCTAATTAGAGACAAAACAATCCCCAATTCAAAAACAACAAAAACTACATAATTCAACCAAAAACCCAAGTTGCAGAACACAATCAATCAACATTCAACAAAGTAAAGAAAACCCACACAATATTAAATTACTAAATCAAGTGTTTTTTTTTACACATTTACAGCAATACTGCAAAACCCAACACCATATAATCATCAAAAAGTAAAAATAAATATAGAAATTCAAAATATAGAAATAATAAAAATTCAAAGAAACTATAAAAAAAATACGGAGTAATAAAAATTACCCTGAAAAAATGGGCATGAGGAAAATCGGTAGAAAGGTGAGAGAAAACTTGGTCCATGTGTTTGGAGGCTTCACACCAAGTAGCCCAGAAGTGTAAAATGACAGGATTACCCTCGTTCACCGCCTTATCAACCTCCGCTTTTGACTCCACATTCTTCACACTTCCACTCCCCATTTTTTGATTGTTTAATCTTCAATCTCTCTCTTCGATTAAGATGAGAGAGAAACACAGATTAAATTGATTGATTGATGGGATTAGATTTGATTTGATTTTCTGGGAAAATAAACCCAGAAATTACAAGAGGAGGGAAAGAAGAGAGAATATTGTGGGTGTGAGTTGTGAGTGAGGGTTGTTTGAGAGTCAATGTTAACGCCAAACTGCCAAAGAATTAATCGATCTTTGCCGTTGATTTTTGATGGGCTTCGATGCTCGAGTCATGTCACGTATTCAATTCCAGAACCTTCTCTTTTTTGGTAGCAAAATTCGCTTTATCAATTTTGGGTCGGGTTATATTTGGGTGATGATTTAGGAGAATCTAACTATTCTTTATAGTAAAAAGTGTGTCTAATACAAAATATGTCACATGACACATTTCACCTATTTTAGAAATATGTCACATTATCGTAACATCTTTCTCATGTACTATACGTCACCGTAACACAAAACCAATAAAAAATGAATTAACATTCTTACCAGCATTGCTATCTTTTAGTTATGTTTCATATTCAATTGTAATAAGAAAATTTGTCAAAAAAAAACCTTTTAAATGCCTCATTTTGTAAGAAAAAACCTTTTAAACGATTCTTTGTTTAAAAAAACCACCACGATCACTTTTTTTGTTTAATGAAACCTGGGCTCTCTTTTCCGGCATTGACTCCCAATTTCAGTCGTTGACCCATGAGTTTTCCTACTTGCTGCCACTTATTTTGATAATTGCACTCCCTCTTATTTTCCCTCTAAAGAACTTCCTCTCTATTCTCTCTCCCATTTCCTCCATGAATGTTTTCAACACTATCACATCAAATTGGGTCTCTCTCTCTCTCTCAACTCGCCATTAATACTACAACCATAAATTGAGGTAAGTGTAAAATCATCAGTTCTATACTCGAATTAGTCAAAAAAAAAATTGGGGCTTTTTTTAGACAATTGAAAAACTCATTTTCTTGTTGTTTCAATGGCTAAAGGAGGAAGAAAGGGGACGCTTGAACGCAAAACAAAGTTTCCCAATTATGTAGTAAAGTACAAACCCAGGTATGTTCTTCAATTTCGTACTCATTTGCACAATTTGCGTTTAAATGGTTAGGGTTTATCACAAAAAATCGACAATAAATAAACTCAATTAACTTAATTGTTGTTGGTTGTTTGATGATTTTGAACTGTGATTCTTAAATAATACATGCAAACTAGATTGGATTGTTGAATTTTTTTACTGGAATTGTTCATTTGTTGCCCTAGTTTGTTGAATTTAAGGAATTTTGTTTTTGTTGGTGTGTTTGTCAGGTTTAACAGTAGAGTAAATGTGTTTGAACCTCGGTTTAAATTCATGGAACCCATTAACATTAGGATGTACTATGGTGGTCATTTTGTGACTAAGAAAAACATTACAACTTATGAGAAAAAACCAAATGTGACCCAAAAAGTATGGAATAGCATTGCGTGTGAATGTAGAGGAGATTTGCTATTTTGAGTTTACCTATTGGATTAAGTCTGACTTAGGCTGTGATGAGATTGGGTAAATTTGGTATAGGAAAAAGGGATGTTTTTTACACACTGGGAGGGCTAGAATTAGGCATATCTCACAACACTCCTTTTGGAACACCTCTAGTTGAGTGGGTGACGTGGCGTAGTGAGAGAGGTTTACGTGACATGTGGACGTTCTTAGTAACGCCTTTTAATAGATTAGTATACATTGTTGTACAATATGTAATCCAGTCTATTATTTTCATTAACGACTTTAATATTAAGCCCGTGAGTTTTGTTCTTATGATATAATGTCGTACGATGAAGCTAACATAAGAGCAATGCCATATTGCCATTGATGGACTAAAAAAAATGTCCATCACGTACTCTCTTTTTACTCACTTTCTTACTTCTTCACATCATTTTTAACGTGGCCAATTTTTATGAGTAATTTTTTCTCTTTTACTTACAACAATTTGTTTTTCATGTCTCTAGATGTATGGTTTTAACCATTAATACATATAATTAATTAATTATAATAAAGTAAAGATTAAAGTATAAAGACGGAGAATAACAACTAAATTAAAAATAAAAAATAAAAAAAAAAATAAACTTTTTTCTACCTTGTAAATCACATACTCCCTTCTCTCATTATCCTCTTTTATTATGAAATTTTTATATACACCCAGGTGCGAGATGTATCAAAGTTAATAACCATGATTTAATATAATCATAAAAAAAAAAAAAAATCAAGTACCTTAGGTGAACCGTGCACCTGGGTGTATATAATAACCTTTGCTTTTATTAATTTCAGTGGCAAGGACTTAAGCGATGATAGATCTATTTTTGTTGTCTAGTTAAATTTATATTGGCATAATAAGATATAATATTACAATGGAAAATTTGTCAAAAAAAACCTTTTAAATGCCTCATTTTGCAAGAAAAAACCTTTTAAACGATTCTTTGTTTAAAAAAACCACCACGATCACTTTTTTTGTTTAATGAAATCTGGGCCCTCTTTTCCGTCATTGACTCCCAATTTCAGGTGTTGACTCATGAGTTATCCTACTTGCAGCCTACAGTTGGATAAATTTCCCTCCTTTTTTGTTTGGCTCCTTAATTTTCCTTCTATAAATATTCTAGGGCAAGCCTCCCCAAATCACTCCAACAAAACTTAAGGCAAATCTCCACCCAAATCAGAGCAATTGAAAGGTAAATTAGGGTTCTTCATCTATTTCTTCAACAAATGTAGTGATGAATTCACCATTGTAGCGCTCCATCGTTCTTTTCCTCTCTAATTCTTCTGTTGTGTGGTTTTTGCTCTTCACTAATTCCTCTGTTGCTGCTGGTAAATTTGAAGGTAAAATGGTGAATTATGCATGTGGCTTTCCTTGTGCGAAGCGACATTCCTGGACTCATGAAAATCCAGGAAGAAGGTTTGAGGCTTGCATAAAGTACAACCACAACACTAGAGAACGAGGTTGAAACACGTTCAAATGGCTGGATGAGGAGTAGACAGAGTGGCAGCGTGAAGTGATTAATGTTCTACTAGCTGAGAGGCACAGGAGGGCAACCAAGTTGACTATTGTCAAGGTTAGGCTTGCTTGCCTAGAAGATCACAATAATATTTAAAGGGGAATGCAAAGAGGCTCTGTACCAGAGATGTAGCAGGTGGGGTTTAAGCAAGTTGGCATATGTGTTGTTGTTTATGTGATTGTTAGTGTGGTGTTGATGAAAATGTTTAGTTAGGTAGAATGCTAAGGTTGTGGGATGTTTTGGTAATTAGATTGCTTCAGGTAGTAGATTGCTTAGATTGGTAAGTATGTGGGGGTTTAAGCTAAGTATGTGGGGGGTTTTAGCTAAGTAGAATGTGCTAAATATTTTGTGTATTTTGGACCCTTGTAAGTGAAATAAAAATGCAATCTAATTTGGTATCTACTCTTTTTGTGCCATCTTGTTTACTCACTGCATGTTTTGATTTCTAAATACTGTCACGTACAAATGTTGAAGCAACAATAGCATGCACACAATGTAAGAGAAATCGAAGCAATGAAATTGGTTAAAATATAAATACCATAACATAAGTTGGTGTAAAAAACAAGTACACCAATTGTTTTTCAAAAGATTAGTTGTCAGAAGAAACTTTGAATATATATATATATATATATATATATATATATATATATATATATATATATATATATATATATATATATATATATATCCTGACATTAAAAGTTTGATTAAGTTGTTCAAAATAAACATCACATATTTCCTGGCATCATTCAATGAGCTTGCTGGGTTCCATGTTGGGGTGTAGACAGTGAGATGGAGTGCTGTGAAGCTTGGGTTGATTGACTCAGTTAATGTGATGAGGTAGCTCCTGCTGCTTGGCCTGCTACTGGTTTCCCTGCTACTGCTTGCCCTGCTGCTTCAACTTTCTTTGGTCTTCTAGGCTGCCTCTTTGGCTTATCAATAGGTGGGCTTGGACACTTATTCTTGTAATGCCCCAACCCACCACAATTAGAGCATTTGTTTTTCACCTTTTCCCTCTTAACATTCTTCCTCTCTTTATCTTCTCCAGCTTCTTTCTTTCTCTTCTTACTTGAAGGCCTGCCAGGTAAGTTTCTGTGTACAAGAGGTAATGGCCTGGGATAAGGAGTGACTTCCCACTGCTGATGACCAGGCATTGCTTTAAAAGTTGGAGCATATGCCTTGGTGTAGGTCTCCACATGATAAGCTCGGTGGATGAAGTTCTCAATGTCAAGCCTTCTCAATTGAATATAGGCAAGTGCATGCCAGTAAGGAATTCCCATAAGTGTCCATCTATTGCAGCTACAAGATTTGGTTTCCAAATTAACAACATAAGTGTATTCTAAGTCATCAACTTCAAACTCCATTAAGTCAGCTTGACTTACTCTCATGTTGGACACTTGTTGCAGACCTCTATGCACCATTTTCAAAACAGTTGGCATGATCACACTAGTGAAAGATTTGAGCCCTTCCTTTTTTGCAAAAAACCTTCCCATTACATATCTTCTTACCCACTCTATCAACTGCAGAATAGGCTTGGTTCTAGCTTCTTTGAGAACATTGTTGAAGCTCTCACAATAATAGTTCAAGAGCATACCTGACTTGGAGGAGGAGTTGAATTTGTGTCTTGACCAATGAGCAGGTGAAATGGCTTGTAAGCAGTTAAAGGCATCTACACTCAGCTTTTTGATCTCTTGCATATGCTGCTTAAAGTGATGCTATGGCTATACATAACCAAAAGTACACAAAACTCAAAGACATGTCAAATATGTTGCATATATAAGCAATCAAATGTGCTCTTTCCAAAAGTCAAAGACATGTCAAATATGTTGTACCTCTATGGTTGACCTTGCAGCTTTCCAAAAGTGCTCTTTGTAGACAATCCCCGGGAATTTGTTCTTGAAGTAGCTCCAAATGTGCCTGAAGCAGTACCTAGTGTCTGCATCAGGCATAACTGTAGCAATGCATCCACTAGGCCCTGTGTCATATGTTCAGAGTAAGCAATAAGCATACAATAGGTGAGTTTGGTTTGAAAAATGAACTAAGTTGTAAGCAATACAAATACCTTTTGCCTGTCACTCATGTAAGTGAAATCATCAGCTTAATGAACCCAAGTGACAGAGTCCGCAACTGTTACTATGTCCTTTCTTAACAACTCCAAAAACCATGTCCAAGTTTCCCCATTTTCTACTTCTATAACTGCCCATGCTACTGGGAAGATGTTGTTGTTGCCATCTTTCCCCTCGGCTGTCAGTAGAATGCTTGAATAAGCCCCCTTCAAGTGAGCACAATCCACTCCCAAGATTGGTCTACATCCTGCCATGAATCCCTGCTTGCAGGCTTGAAAGCACACATATAACCCCTGGAAAATAGGTTGGGGGTTAAGCACTCTATCTACCTTCACAACACCTGTACTTCCTAGGTTATACTTCAAAATGACAGCTGCATAATCCCAAACCTTCTCATATTCCAAATATGCATCCCCAAAAATCATCTTGAATGCCCTCTGCCTAGCATACCACGCTAAGTAGTAGCCTATTTCTACTCTACACTCTCTTCTTGCCCTTTTAATGAATGCTAGCTTCCATGTGGGGTCATCCCTCCAGTCTTCAAGGTACCTCTCAGTTAGGTACTGTGAAGTAATCTTTGAGTTCTTATGTTGGTGCCCACATATATGCTTAAGCCTAAGACTCTTAATTTGCCAAGTTGCCTCACCTTTTAACTTCCTGCAATGTATCTTAAACCTACACTTTCTTCTAGCATTGCATTGCATTCCAAAATTCTTGCTCTCTTCCAAGGACATCCACATCTATGAGCACAGTATGCACTCACTCTTTGGTTGTTCTTATGGAGAAAGTAAAAGTCATAACCATGGTTAATAGCATGGTAGTGTAAAGCCCTCCTAAAGCACTTGTTGGTTGGGAACTTCAAGCCTTTAGGTCAACACCACTTTGCCCTTAAAATCAACCTTTGGGTTGAACTCAGGATACACTGGCCCCTCATCATCTGAACCAACCTCACTGACCACTTCATCATCTAAATCCACTATGTCTTCATTATTCCTAATCTGCAAACCATCCTAAATATTCTGCTCATCATCCTTTGACAGACCCTCTAAACTCCTAGTAACCCTCTCCTGCATATCATGATCTACAAACTCATCAAACAAATCATCATCATCTTTGTCCTCATAATCATTGTCACTTAATTCAGCATCATCTTCCTTAATAATTTCTTACACCTCACAGCTAGTCCTCACCCACCACATTTTCCTCAACAGTTCCCACAACAGGCACTAATTCACCAGTTGGTCTTGCCTTACTCGGCTTTGTTGTGTCATTTTGAGTTACCATTAACTGCTGGGTGTTTGGTTTTGGGTTGGTTTCTGGCAAGGTAGATAATGTAGGAAGAACAATGACATCTAGAAGAACAAGGAAGCTGCAGGAAGAATTGGAAGGGGTACTTATATCAATGAAACTGGGTGGGTGGTTTTTTGTGTGCTGAAATTATTGGAAGCTTTGGCCTTGTGGTTGTATCAAATGGTTTGGAGGGGAGAATAGTTTCTGAAAGTGTTTTGTGCAATGTACTTTGAGTGCTAGAAAACTCAGATCTAGGGTTTTTAGTTTGGAAATCATGCACTTTATGTGTTGGTGGACCCCCCTCTTCATTATTTAATGAGTCACCAACCCCATTACTTGCCATATCACTGCCTCTCCTATTTGTGCTCTCACTATCTGTGTAAAAAGAGACACCTGCCCCATAAAGTAACCTCCAATTAACATCATCCACCTTGTCTTCATGCACAACATAAAGGTGATAAAATCCATCTTTCTCACGTGCTTCAATGAACTCTTCTATGACCTTATCTCCCTCTCACAAGTGGTCTTGCTATTATTTTTTAATTTAATTTATTTTTATTTATTATTATTTTTTTAAGTACTATTGGGACTCTTTATAATACTACTGGAACTTCTAATAGTACTACCGACACTTTATATAGTATACCACTGATGATATTATTAGTACTACTAAAGGAAATACTTAACAAGATCGTTTTATAATTAAGAGTAATAATCACTTGTTTTTCGATTAATGACTTTAACGGTATTAGTTATCACAACTCTACTACTTATATATCGCAATAAATTAACCTTTTGGTTTAATAGCCCACCATGCTTCGCAATAATAATTATTTAACTAGAGAGTTTTGGCCAATACCTAAACTTAGTCGACATTGGAACCTCCGGCGTTCTGAGCTTCCATCTTTACCAAGGTAGCTAACCTCAACCTTGTCTTCCTTAGATCAAGCACAACACAGGTCTAATTCGTTTCTTACCTTAGACCGTAATCTCTAATAAAACAATTCTTATTGTGTTTTAAACAGAAAGATAACTCATTGGATATATAAGGTTCAAGGGGATAACGTTCCCTTCTTGAACGAAACTTTTATTTAATTTTGAAAGATTACAACACTCATATTTTACAACACAAAACTGAAAGCTTAAACAGACATAAGCTGAACTAGAGTTTTCTCTACTTTAAGAGTGATGGAGAACCAATTTGTCTCTTAAGGTGAGTATTTTTCTCTAGAGGACTCTCTAATGTTTTCAAATAAATGCTCTAGCTAACTCTTCCAACTCTGCCTACACTTCTTTGCCTAATTCCCTTTATATAGGGAAACTAAGCTACATAGGATTCTCATCCTGACCCAGCAAGCAATTTTCCACCATTGCTTTTTACAAGGACACTTTAAAGCAGTAACGGTTACTAAAACGTGGCTACAGTGAAAGTAGATTGAATTATTACTAGTGTGGGCTCAGGAATCCATTATCTCATCCATCATTATGTCTTGTAAACCACCTTCGTTGTCTTTACTATCTTCACAATGGACATACATGGGGTTGTCCTCTCTTTTACCGAGATCAAACACACATTTGGCAGCATATGGTTCATCCCATGTGACAAAGATCTCCAATAGGTGCTCTTTTCCCTCTAAGGATAAATATCTCCCAGCTTCAACTTCTTCAGGATAATCATACACTGATTCACCATGTAATTCCCCTTCTTCTAAGTAATTTCTTAACCATTCTGGTGCTACTATTGTTGTATTCCCCACATGTATTATGACTGGTGGTTCTTCCTTTATTGATATGAACTAGTTAAGATACTGAGCAATATAGAAAAATCCATAAGCTTTGCTTCCGTAGGATCTTTTACTCGTCTTTGCTGGATACATATTGGATCTTTGAGTTTGCGATGAACATCTTCAAACATGATTAAGAAATGTGGAGAGCTAAATTTTCCTTCAACCATTTCGATGTTTGCACTTTGCACTTGGACTTGTTCAACTCTTCCTTTGTATCTTGTTGCATCATAAATTCTTCTAAATACATACCTTTGGAACTTTGTGACTTTCCAAAAGAATGTAGTATTATTATTAGGAAATGGCACAATACTATGAACTATTCCATAATCCCAAACTTTGTAGTACTCCACTACATATGGTGCCCTCCATTCTAGAGTATGTGGATGAATTGACACGGTACCCACTCTGGAATTAGTGTTAAAGCTTATTCTACTTCCCCATAGATCATAAACCTCATACAACTTGTACGATCTTGATACAACTAATAAGTTGAACCAATATTTAAATTCGTTATCTCTTATTTTATTTAGTATTATATCCAGAACATCAGGAATGAGTCACAAGATCATGACCATCACTTCATACATCAGGAACCTTCGAATTGCTACATGACAAATTTTAATCAAACCATCTCTATACCTCTTTTTTGATGAAACGATCATGGCCTCCATCAAGGCCCAAGTGGAGGGTGAAACCCACTCCATTGCTTTATCAGTTTCTTCAATAAGGGTTTTTTTTTATCTGCCTCCATCTTTTTTAGTTGGTGGGCAGGAGGTTTTTCTGATGTCTTGGGTTTCTTCGTCATTGGCTAATTCCCTGGTCAAGCTATCTGCCAAAATATTCTTCGATCCTTGTGTATGTTCAACAGTAAAAGAGAATTGGTTAAGCCATAATTGCCAAAGTAGGAGTCTCCCTTGCGCTTGCATATTAGACAAATTCTTTTTAACAAACCCAAGTATGCCTTTGCAATATGTTCTTATTAAGAATTGTTTAGGGGCTAAGAAGATTAAGAACTTCTCAATCCCTCTAATGACTGCAAGGATTTCCTTTTGCATTGTAGGATAATTTAACTCAACTTTATTAAAACTTCCATTATTGTATCTGCAGAGTCTTTCTCCTTCTTTGATTTTTAACACAACACTCCAGTGTTCATTACTAGCATCTGTTTCAAGAATTAAATTATCTTCACTAGTAGGGAGTGTTAATACAGGAAGATTTTTACACATAGCTTTTAAATCTTGAACAATTTTGGAATCACTTTTCTTCCAGTTTCAAGTTATTTCTTTCTTGAGTTTTTGTTGTAATGGTTTTCTTAACAGAGAAAGATTTTCTATGAAATCAGAAGCATAGGTTAAACATCCTAGAAACCTTTCCAGTTGTTTTCTATCTTCAATTTCATCTGGGAATTTTTCAATCTTTTCCAAGATATGTTTTTGCAAGATTATTTGTCCTGCTTTAATCTTTAATCCTAGAAACTCAATTTTGTTTAGCATAAACACATTTATCTTTTCCAAGGATTATACCATGTTCAACACATTTTTGGGTTACAGCTTTAAGATCATCTTATGTTGCTCTAAATTTTTTGAGAAGATTATAATATCATCTATATAAACCAAACAACAATGATTCAGCTCTCTGAAAATATTATCCATTCTTCTCTGAAATATTTGTGGAGCATTTTTTAATCCAAAAGGTATCACTGAATGCTTTCTTCTTCCATTCTAATTTGCCAGTAACCACTCTTACAATCCATTTTAGAAAATCATGTGGCTCCTTGTATTCTATTGAATAACACAATTTTATTAGGAATGTAATAGCCATCGAACACAGTATTATCATTTAGTTGTTTATAATTAATTAATGACTATTCTAGCTTTACCTCTTTTTTCTTCTGCAAGATTTCTTACCATGAATGCTAGACTATTATGACTATTCTTGTTATTCCTAATTAACTTCTTATTCAACAATTCTTTTATTTGTTCATCAAATTCCAATATATCTTGGTAGGTATAAACCATTTGTCTAGCTTACTCTAATAATCTTATTCGAATTTGTTAGAATTATTTTAGCAAATGCCTTATCCTTTTCCCAATGTTCTAATGGATTTGTTGAATTTAGTTTTTCACCTAATTTTTCTTGCTGCTTTACTATCTGATGTATTAATGATGATTCACACTCAGAAATTCTAAGTGCAACCTCTCCTTGTGTAGGTGTAACCTTATCACCACACTAGCTGTGCGTAAATTCCATTGTTTGATGAGTATATGCTTTAGTTATTTTCTGTATAGGAACAAAATGGCCATTAATAGAAAATGAAATTTGATCAATGATTTGAGTGCATGGGGAATATAATCTTTGAAAGTTATTTCCTATTATCATATCATGACTAGGTTGATCAGTAGCTCATAAAATAGGAATAATACATTGAACTCCTCCAATTTCTATTGGTAATTCTTCAATTATTTTCATATGCATCATGACACTGTTATTAGAAATTCTAACTTGCATAGGATTTTTATCCTTTTTCCACAAGAATTCTTAAAATAATGATCTTTTTCCAAAACATGTAGAACAACCACTATCAATGTATGCACAATTTATATTTATTATAGTCTACAATGCTTACGTCAATTGGAATATAAGTGATATTAGGATTAGTACTA